ACATACATAATGTAACTCTTTTTACTCTGTCTAATAAAAAGAGATAGATACTTATAGTACTTATACATTACTAATATGTCGACTATATATCTAATACAGAAAATTGTATGTACATTATACTATGATAATTCTAACATTGTTGTAACATATAACAGAACATTATTAGTGAATATACATTATAATCATATTTTGTATGTATTATTATAATGTACATATACACAATAATGTACAAAATATGATTTTAATATTGCATATATCATTAATTCACTAACATGTTTATGTCTTTGTGCGAGAGCCAACCAGAGCGAGAGCGCTGATCGTGAAATTTTTAAAGTGATGCGGCGTTTGTCTTACTGTCTTTCTCGCTAGTTTAAATCCGGCATATATATATTATGATATTCATTTATGATAATATATTATCGTAACCTAAAATGGCATTGGATGTAAGAAAAAAGTGCTATTACGATTTCGTATCGATATATCTATTAATTAAAAATCTGTATTTTATATATATTACAGACTTTTAGTACTGGTGATATATATTAGAACACGGCCTACATTGCATGTGTATATAATACAACTAAATATGTATATAATGTAACTAAATTTCTAAGGTCCGATTCTACAAATATAAGATTAACTTCAATTATGTTTATTTTTTTTTCAATTCTAAAATTGGAAAATTTTCCAAAATAAATCTTACATTGTGGGACCGATCCTAATACACGTCCCTGTTAAGATGGTAATGTAGGAAACGGAATAAAAATATCGATAATTAATCAATCGAATTTCCTGCATGATCATATTAACTTCAGAGGGCGTAAGCAGCTTATACATTGGAAATGAAAACCTGTAATATCGACCTTGATCAAGTTCGGCCTTCGCTCCAGCATCCCCTTAAAACTGCTGCAGGCGCGTATGTCTTTCTTCCACAACAATCTTTCCGGTGAGTAATAGTTACAAAATCCGATAGTCGTCTTAACTACTTTATAGAGACTTCATAAAAATTATTTTATGACAATTTTTAAAAATATTTTTCAGGTAATTTTTAAAATATTTCATAATTTTTATATAATCTTAAAATTTTTTAGAAAGATTTTTTAATTTTTAAATGAATTGAGACTTTTTAGAAGTTTTGAGAAAGTTTGTAACTTTTCTAATTTTCTTTGTAGATATTATAGATGTAAATTTTGAAATAGAATTTACAAGATTTGTCATTTTATATTTTTCAAAAAAAACTTAAAAAAATCTGAAAAAATTGATATATTTCTTTTAAAGAAATTCTTAGAAAATATAAGAATTGATAAAATATTATTAGAATCTTTTTGAAGAGTTTTCAAAACGTTAATTCCAGATATAGAAAACAAGTATATTTTTGTCAAATGTGATATTATTAAATTGTATTGATTGCTATCCATAAAAAAGTAAAGCGATGATGTAGATCTTTTTTTGCACATATTCATGATATCAAAAATACAAATTATCGATTAAAATTGATTAATTTTATTTTAAAATATTATATTATATTTATGTAACTTATGTCAATTGTATTAATTGAAAGCCATTCTAATTATAAGCTTGAAATAAGACTCTGTTTAATTTGTTTAGAAAATTTACGAGCATTTTCATTCTAATAAATTATCGAACTTACGTCGATTTTAATTCCTAGACTTGTGATTTCTTTTCTCGATTCTTGCAAAGAGTTAACGATTTTTGTATTCCAGGAAGAATTTTAAACAGATTTTCAAAGGATATGGGCATTATGGATGAATGGCTGCCCAAACTGATGTTGGAGGTAATCCAGGGGTTTTGCGTGCGTAGTATGTGGTATAATGATCATGGAGGGGATAATTAATCAGTGGATGCTGACATTGATAGTCATATTAGTCATCTTGTTTTTCTTCGCTACGAAATTCTATATAAAGATTGGTCAAAACCTTGAAGGCTTAAGTAAGTATATTACAGCAAATAATATGTTATTAGAAAAAAATGCGGTGTATATTACATCCTGAGGTCTAAATTCGTGGACTTCTGCCAAAGAATTCGTATTTTTAAGTTCTTACATTTCTCGGAATTTAATAAATTCTTCAGAAGTTTTTTTGAATATGTTTTTGCGTTTTCAGTGAAGAGTCCCATATTCTCATACGTAAATGCCACTCTGAATGATTTGCCGACAATCAGAAACAGCGGCATTGAAATCGAGAAATTAATGCGAAAACGATTTGATGAGTTGCAAGATCGTCACAGCGGCACGTAGTATCTCTTTTTAACATGCGCTATAGCCTTTGCTATCATTGAGGATTTAATAATATGCCTATTCGTCGCCTGCATTTGCTTTTCTCTAATATCAATGAATGAGACTGGTAAATTATATTATATTTAATTAATTAATAGGTACTTAATTAAGAAGAGTTAAATTTTTTTCTAAAGATTTCATAAAAATGCAAAAGGCTACAACTTAAAAGAATTAATTAATAGAATTAAATAAACTTTATGTTTCAATCCTTATTTCAGCGTGTGATTCTTTTTCTCAACAGACTATTGCAAATTCTCTTTGTTCTTTATACTACAGACAGTGTAACCGGCAGCAAAGCAGGTCTAGCAATATCGCAATCATTAATCCTGATTGTTTGTCTACAATACATCATAAAACAGTTTAGCGAGTCTACTATCATTGATGACCTCCGTGGAAAGGATTCTTCAGTACACGAACCTTCCTAAGGAAGAACCTATTACCTCGGACAATCTACCGCCACCTATATGGCCATCCCAAGGACAATTGATCTTGAAGGATATCAACATGAAATATCATATAGATGATTCACCAGTTTTAAAGGTATAAAATAAACTGTTCATTCTTACAAATTTTACACTTTATTTGTGTTTTATCACGTAATCGGGCTTTACAGAATCTGAACGTATCCATCGAGCCTGGCTGGAAAGTTGGGGTAATTGGACGAACTGGCGCCGGCAAGTCCTCCTTGATCTCGGTACTTTTCTGCTTGTTCAATGAAGATCTAGAAGACGAGATCAAAATCGATGGTCGGGACACAAGCACGGTGAGTCTCAGTGAATTGCACTGCAAAATCTTCATTATACCACAGAAACCTGTGCTCTTTTCCGAGAGTCTACGTTACAATCTGGATTCGTTCAATCAGTACGATGACTTGAAGCTGTGGGAGGTGTTGCGGCAAGTCGAGCTGAATGATGTCACATTGGACCACGATATCTTCTCTGGCGGTCATAACTTCAGCATCGGTCAGAGGCAACTTATATGCTTGGCCAGAGCCATCTTGAAAAACAATCGCTTGCTCGTTCTCGATGAAGCCACAGCCAATATTGATTCGCAGTGAGTCTTTACAATTCTTTAGAATTGTATTTAATATAAATCATTTGGTGAAGACAATAAATTTGTGATTGATTAATTATATATCAATAAATTCTCCATAGCAAATGAAGTCACAGTCATCGCAACAAAGTCATGATGACATGCAAATATTTACTTTGTCACGGGAGTGATATGACAGTAAAGTCATTATACTGTACGAATATCCGCTTTGTTATAGATGTGATATCATTATACAGATTAATTAACAGTTATTTATTTATGACACAAACAGATCAAGATATGATGTGGTGTAGCCTTTGATGATTTTACAGTAATATCACAAGTTATGATGTGATTTTTGAGAATTTATTATAATATGAACGTGACTTTATTTGCTATGAGGTATAGCAATAAATTGCCATATAAATAATTCAAACTTTCTATTATTAAGTTGCTACTTTTTGCGAATAATATAAAGTATTTTCACAGTATGTTATAAGGGTACATCAAGTTAAAGTCGGGTACGATAAACATTCGATTTATAATAAATTCAAGATTAATAGAAAGCAAATCTTTTCAAATTAAATCAGATTGATAGACATATCCATTAAAATCGTATATATTTTGTACCTATAATTTGCAATGTACGAGAGAGAGAGAGAGAGAAAGAGAGAGAGATATTTCTAAATTTTACATATTTATATAAATTTGCATCCCTCAATTTAAAATTCTATTTCTAGCACGGATACTTTAATTCAGAATACAATAAGGAACAGTTTTAAAGAATGCACCGTTATCACGATTGCACATCGTTTGAATAGTATTATAGATAGCAATCGGATCATCGTGATGGAGAATGATTCTATCGTGATAGGTTTTTCGTTTTAATAATTTAAGGATGAATGAATTAAGAAGAATATTGATTTTGTAAGACAAAATTAAGAGATATAATTTTCTATATAACTGTCTAAAAAGGTTGCTTATAATAATTTTGATAGCATGATCAATTCAATCTCTGAAAGATGTTTAGTATAAAACTTATTCTAAAAAGTGAAATTTCATTCTTTAAGATTGAATATTGAAATATTCTTATTTAAGACCAACTTAATTTTTACTCTTTAAAAAAAAAATTTACTTCAAATTATTCAGAGAGTTTAAAATTGATTTAGCAATATACTTTTTTCTGAAAAATCAATATTATGCATGCAAAGAATAATCAATCTTTTTTTTGGAAAATTTTCTAATATCTTGACGGAAAGTCTTTATATGCATTTGAAAATTAAAATTGTCATGTCAATAGGAATTTGGTTGTCCATATGAGCTGTTACACGACAAACCAAATGATTACTTTTCACAAATGATGGAAAAGACGGACAATCAGATGGCGCAAAGTCTTTTAGAACAGGCAAAGAAGACTTGCGAGAAGAATAATGTTCATTGTGAATTAAACTTGTCGGCGCAAAATACTGAGTGTGACAGCGACTCCACGCTTACAGAACAGATCGCTTTATAGATTTTCTACTTCTAAAAATCTTATACTAAAAATATATATAGTATATATTGTACAATATATAAAGTTATACAACGATAAAACTGATCAACCCGTGCTATTAGAAATTTTATTTTAAAAATTCGTGAATTAAAATATCTATAAAATATATATAATATATAATATATTAAAATATATATCTTAATATATCAAATTAACATCATTTGATTTTTAATAGCGACCCACTTTTTTATTTTAAACACCAAGTTACAAAATAATAATAATAAAACGTATTATATTACAGTTTTATTGTAATATTGCAAATTATACCTAAGAGTACGGTACGTTTAACTTTATAGATTTGAATATTTTCATGTTTACATACAATTTATTATTTTTCATGCAATATATTTTAATACCGAATTATAGAAAACAAAAAAGAATTATTGTATAATGTACAAAGAATAATATAATAAAATGTATTAGTTGTTGGAATTAATTCGTAGCGTTTTACAAGTGATGGGAAGTACTTTCATTAATGTATTTTTTAATGCTCATGTGAAATAAATAACATTCTTTCATTAAAAAACGCTACGAATTAATTCCAACACCTAATAATATAACATAAAATAGAATTAAATCCTTTTATATAAAATATAAAATACATAAATTGCTTATATACGTACATGTTTATAACATTTTGTTTCGAAAGGATATCTTATATATTTACAAAATATAAATAATAACATAAAATTTGTATATGATTCAAGAAAATCTGAATTCTGACTCAGCAATAAGAATCATTACATTTTTATTTAGTAAATGTTTTAATAATATAATGTTTATTATTGAACAAATGCTTTAATTCCGTACCTTCTAAGATACAAATAAAAATTGCTAATTTTAAGATATTTGAAACCAAACATTCAAATAAGTTATAATAATTTAATGAAATTTGTACTTAAAGTACGCGTCTGCAAAAATGAAATTACGAAGTAATTACGAATTCTTTTTTATTGCCATAATTATGTTTGGTAAAAACGGGCAGACTATAATATTATAAGTAACAAATACGTTTTTGATGCAGAACATTTTACACAATTTAATCAGCAATCTACAGTAAAAAGAGAATACTTGGTTGAGTTATTAGCTTGTTGAAAGTTAAATCCGTGTAACAACCAGTTCCAAAACTTTGGTTTCCTCTAATATAATGGTAATATTATTTTATACATTTAGTGAGAGATGGTCGACCGCCATACCATTTTGTTTTTAGATAATATTTCTTAATTAAACAAAAGATAAAAATAAACTTTAAATACATAAATACAAATTAAAAAGTGTTTTCTATTAGATAACATAAGCAGTTTTTATAATATTGTTTGTAATTTTGCAGTAATCAATTTTTCGTAAGGTAAGCAAAAATAAGTGTTCGATAAAATAATCTCCAAAACTGACACAGTAATATAATATATGCTACATATTCCTATTCTTTTCTTTTTACAGGAATTATCTGTATAAAATATCTACATGTAAATGTATATAAGATTTTCCAGAATCTTTTTACTTCTATATAAAATATTTTTGTTAAATTATATGCGTAATTACATTATGCTGTTATGCCAGATGTAACGCGATAGTTTCTTATATGCTATTATATATGTACCATTGCTCCGATATAGTTATTTGGCATTATAAAGCAACATTACGAAAATTAAATTAACTCATAGTATGTTTAACAGACAGATGTGGTTTACATTGCACCCTGATTTTGTATTTATTAAATCGTATTATAAAAAACTAAGAGAGAAAAAATAATATAAATGAAACTAATTTAGGAAATTATAATTTCAAACGATGTAATATTATTAATAATACAGTCACTGTTATTTAAATTTTTTGCAAAAAAAAATCGTAAGAATTTTATTTTCGCATTCATATAATTCGTTTTTAGCTGATATTGTATAAAAACAAGTCAAAAATATATCAATTATGCGTTTACAATTTTTTATTGACTAAACAGTTAACAGATCATGTTTTGGTTAGTAATATTAAATAAAGTGCAATAGTTAGTTTCTGAGAAATAAAAAGGTGTCGCTTTAGAAAACCTATAACAGTATCGGCGATTTTTCTTTATATTTATATTATTCGCTTCATCTTTCATTAATTTACATTACATAAAACAGAATTTAATTATATCTCATAATAAGTTCATCATATCTTTATATATTAGCTTCTTCTCTGTCATTTTACAATCCATCCGTATGTATAGATATAGGATGTAGGATACCTATACCGGTTCCTGTGATATCTTGTGTGTGTTTATTAATAATATGTCTGAATTTTTACAGTGAATTAAAAAAAAGAGAGAGAAGGCAAAACAATTAGCCGAAATCAAATTTTATTTGCAGCATATTTAGTTTAAACCTTTTACTTTACGAAAATAAATACTATATTTATAATAGTGTATACATGTAAGTGCATAAAATTGTGTGCATATATATATATATTATATATAATATACATATATGTACAGCTTCAACTTAAGTCACCATGTGTCGTTAGAAGCCATGTAAATAAAAAGCATCCATTAAGCACGTTTGTACTTAGTATAAAGTCCAAATGTTATTAGGTGTTGGAATTAATTCGTAGCGTTTTACAAGTGATGGGAAGTACTTTCATTAATGTATTTTTTAATGCTCATGTGAAATAAATAACATTCTTTCATTATAAAACGCTACGAATTAATTCCAACACCTAATACAATCATTCGTACTTTGTAATAATAAAGTAAAAGCATTAAATGCGGATCAGGCACTAGTTCGGGATCCCACATTATATTTAAATAATTATAAAATTTTTTATATATTAAATAATGCATATCACAAGATTCTTTAGCATTTGCTTTGTCTTTTTCAAGTGTCAATTTTTTTTATTTATTAACAATAACGCTGCATATTTCATTAATATCTGCACGTTTTATTAATTAACAAAACGTGAGACACAAACTAAAATATGTAAAAAATTCGTAGAAAGTGTAATATCATAAAAATTGCCTTATGGCTTTTATAGGAGTAAGTAACAATAGATTTAATGAAAAAAGTTGATATCATGTTTAGATGAAATTAAATCCCAAAAAGATAAAACATTTGGAAAATTAATTCGCAATAAGTACATGGAGTCTAATCGTGAATAATTGTCATTACGTACTATAATTTAGTCAACATTAAAACGTATAAAATAGTACCGAAATGAAATAAAATCTATAATGTAATCTTTATAAAAATATAAAATATGAAATATGAATTATTCTTTTAAGAGTAATCCACATCTAGTGGCCTCAATTTACGTATCTATAAATAAAAATTCCATGAAAAGAAAGGCAAGCTAATCTAGATCTAGATTAGATCTAATCTAATCAATCTAATCTAATCTAAATCTAGATTATCTGTTTGTCCAATATTCTGTTGTTCAACACTTGTTGATTAAATGGCATTTACATACGTTATCCCTCAGTGTACATATCTTACAGTGTAGTTCCTTCTACAAAGTTCCTAGAGGAACTGCGAAAACTATTTCTGAAAATCTTGTAAAAAATATTAAAATGTGTTTGTGCCTCGTGCAGCAAGAACTAATTCAGTTAAAATACTAGCCGACGACTCAGAAACTATGGCAAAGACGCTAGAAAGAGCGCTGGCGCCATTATTGATCATTGGATCGTTTTGCAATTTGTGCATATTCGAATATCCTCGTGGACAACCTAGGATATATCTTTCTTACCTATATGCTTTGGCCAAATGGGGCTCTCTTATATACTTCATATACTATCCAATACTCGTCACGAATTTGCAAGATGTCGTCATAATCATGCAGGATTTCTTTCCGTTGTTTAGCATTACATTAATTCTCATTTGCTTCAGTCGTTTTAAGGTACAAATTTTAAAATGTATTCCTGGTCTCAATATAATAATACTTGATCTTTTAGTATTACTTTTTTTTGTTTAATAATATTTTTAATTGAGAGCATTAAAGGAGTCTTAAATTCACAATTACAAGCAAATACAAAATGATAAAACGTTTTTATAAAAGGCTTTCAATGTTAACCAACTGTTAACCATGACCTACTTTTAAACTCTATGCAGTCTCTCTCTCTCTAATCTGTTCGTTTCTTACAAATCGCACGCAGCAAAAAAGTTCTCAAATATAATTCTTTTCTTCTTTTTTCTTCTTCTTGTGCCATTTTTTCTGGAGTACCTCAGAATTCCATTCACGGAATTTAACTTTTTAATATTTTTATCTGATTTGTCTAATGTTTCTCTATCCTCTTCATGTATGCAGACAACGTAATTCTTTTCAAATTCTTTCACCTATTCGATGCTTTTGCAACCTGTTCTGTTTTAAATAAAAATCTAAAATTTATTGTCGAATGGTCTACTAATAATTCACTGCATCTGAATTCCTCTAAATCGTCCTTGCTGTCCTTGTAATTGTCGGTTCCTCAACATTATTATTCCGTATTCAATCCTTCGATATTTCTCTAATTCCGTTCCAATTCCATGCTCCTCCTGTATTAAGATTTTTGGTGTCCATGTTGATTCTTCATGAATATTCAAGCCATACGTACCTGTCAAGTGTTAGGCTGCTTACTCCCATCTACATCTTCTTTATCCCCTTCGTCACATTCTTTCCTGTTTTTAAAAACTTCTCTCTTTTCAATTATTCGTTATTTTATTATTTTATAATTACGCGATGTTGTCTACGTTTCGGCTCTTAATCAATAACTCTTATATCGTGTACAACGTATCCAAAATTCTTGCCTCGCTTCTCTTAGTGCGTTCGTAAATATACGATCATATATCTGTGTATTACCAGAGATCTGGCTAGCTTAGGATGTGGCAACATTTTATTCTACATCTGTATTGTTTCTCGTTTTTGTTTTGCTTCAATACTCCTCTATGTCTCCTCTATATCCTCTATTCAACGCCTCTTTCAGTTGAATTCTGAACTTCATTCTATTTACTTTTAAC